AAAATATTGAAAAATAAAAACGAATTCAACTTTCTGTTAATTTCATATGTCATTTATCATGCAGGATCGACCAGATTATATCGGCATGATTACTTCAATCAGTAACCGAATGGGACATACAATCAGTATTTGTCACAGCGTAGAGACAGTGTAGGCACAGGTGATATTGATATCGCACACGATAAACTTGATATAGGCTTTGATAAGGTCTGTTTAAATCATGTGACTAACGCGTTTTATTGATTAACCAATCAGCATTTATACATGGCAAATCAGCGACTGATAAATTCCAGGATCTCTATAATTTGAAAAAAAACAAACAGCGAAAAGCAAAGCATAATTATGTATTAAAATATTGTCTTTCTTTGTTGTTTTACGCCGCACTCAGCATATATTCCAGCTATATGGCGGCGGTCTGTAGATAATCGAGTCTGGAGAGACAATCCAGTGATCAACAGCATGAGCATCGATCTACGTACTTGGGATACGATGACAGGTCAGCGAGCATGACCGCCCAATCCCGCTGGCTTGGTTGACACATGTCATCGTATCCCAATTGCATAGATCGATGCTCATGATGCTGATCACTGGTTTGTCTGGTCCAGACTCGATTATTTACAGACCGCCGCCATATAGCTGGAATATTGCTGAGTGAGCAGTTAAACAACAAACCAGCGTTAGACGTCTCTTACGTCAAGCATGGGAGAGACAAATTCTAACCCGGATCTCCACGGGTTATATAAATATACAGCTGACGTATAATTGAAGTGTCAGTGTCTGTTGGGATATTGGTAAACAACCCCGAGTATACAGTTTGGCAAACGAACGTTTTTACTACTAAACTACACCGACATTTACGACGTGTTAACGCGTGTGGTTTGACGACGACTCGGCGACCATAACACCAGCTATATAACGGCAGGGATCGAAAATAATGTGTCACAGACGTGGTAGTTTACCCGACTTTAATTAAACGAAATTGCCGTGTTTGGAGAACTCGTTCCTCTCCCACCCACACCTCCTCCCGTGTCCAGTTTGCTCCACCCCGGGTAGCTGTCCCAGATCTTGTTTGGGGTACATAGATACAAACATCAACACTCTATATGGTGTGGTGTAGGATAACGATTGTTGTGCGAACAAGTAAACGGGTCAGATCCCCGCAAGGGCAGGTGTTTATCATCTCGGGTATAGTTGTAAAGATGTTTTTCGTCGGACCAAGGACGAAGCGATGCGCTTCGTTTGCCGGGAATAGTCGGACACTGTTCCGATGGCTACAAAACGGCACGTGGTTCTAGATAAGCCTGTATTATAAATATTCAGAAAGTGTGGCCAACAGGCAATTAGTTCTCGCTAAAGTTTGACAGGGTATTTTTGCCATTTTTTTGGCGTGTTTTTTAAGAGAAATTCATTGGAAAGAATATGCTAATACTGAAATGCTATCAACAGTAACTGTTGCCGCCTGTGTACGGGCTTACACTGACGTTGCGGTTCAGCCTTGACGTTAACGTTCGTTGTTGTTTTACGCCGCACTATGTAATCTTTCTGTTATATGTCGACAGCATGTAATAGTCAGGTCTCGACCAGACAATCCAGTGATTGACATCATGATCAACCTCTCACTCTGTCGGATCGCAGTGACACACAATCAGCCAAGTCACTCAACCTGACTTCGTAATTCTTTTATTCGCCTTTCATTCGCTCGTCGCACCGAGAATTCGGGTTCGATTCTAAGATAAGTTCATAATTTTTTTAATATTTTTCCCCCATGAGGCCTGCATATTTTGCTTTATGACATCCGATCCCCTGTTTTAGCCAGGCCTTACGACAAGTCTCTTCTGACCACCCAATCCCCACAGATGTAACGGCCCTTGCAACTGGTGTATCTAACTCACCATTTCAGGAAAGTCTTTCCAAAACTCTGTCCATATTTACAAGAATTTATTCTAAAAGTAGTTCATTGTACGATCCCGTTATATCATAAACACATGTTCATGAATCACAATAAAAAAGTGGCCATAACACGTGCTCACGAAAATGTAAGTATACCTTGCCTCACCGATGGCAATTGTCAGAAACACACGCAAAGGCAAATAAACTATAACAATTACAGAGAATACTAAACAACGCTAATAAAAATATGTGTGAAAAAGTAACAACCTATCAGCTTCATTAGTATTTTTAGCCATGCCCCGTTGATTGTTTTGTACCTGTAACGCTTACATCACTGTCATCCCCAGGCCACAATGATGCAGGAAAACAGTTATCACCCCCATCGACCGTATCTAGTCTGTATATACAGGTGACATCCATCAGATAGGGTATCTCATCCTCTATCTAGTGCATCGCAATGGATAGACAGCTCAGGCCGTGATGTGTCAACTTTCGCTCTGATTAGAGAGTCGCTTTGTCATCCTCAGAATGACTTCTAATTATTAAAAGCGATGCGAAACATATTCTATTTCAGTCCCTCTTTTCATTACCGTGTTTGACACGCGCTGTGCTGAGGAATATGATAAATGTTATAACGGTGCGTAATCGTTAAGGTGGGAATGAGCTAGGTCTAAATATAAGATCTACGCATGGACGACAGATTGTAAACGAAGGGTGTGTTAATGAAGAATGTTTATTACATTTCAGTGCGATGGGGGAAATATTAATTTTATCTGTAGCAATCATAATCAACGTTGTTCTTATCAGTTGACTATAACAGTGGTTTAGTGGCCCAGACGGTAATCGAACCCGTGCGGGCGAACACTTTAACCACTATGCTACGCCATCGCCCCCGCTGAAGATTAGTAGAAGGAATTGATGGCTACATTAGTAGAAGTCATACCAGTTGCACGAGGACCTCCAGATGGCAGTTTTTCAGAGACGGTTTCAAGTATGCAAACGCTTACATTCTTTTTTTAATTAAAACTGTTTTTCTATACTCCTTTTTGCCAAGATGTTTATGACTGTTATTTGGATGCGTCAATGAACGAGCTATATTTATACTTTACATTCAAAGATAACGGTTATTACAGTTACGCATGCTACTGTACTTATTCAGAATCTATATACAGATGCAATGGTGATTCATAAATGTACTGTCTTCAGTTCACTTATGTATTCTTGTTTTGTTGTGGTTTTCAAAAAGTGTTTTCAAGGGCTCTAAAACAACCGTTGTTATGATCAGTGTTTCATTGAGTTCTAAATGTTTAGTAGTTTTCGAGTTAGATTGCAATTCATCTGTCCGATTTTGAACCAAACGGACTATACACAAAAATCAGAAATGTATATAGTTATTTAAATTATATTGTACTAGAAGAATCACAATCACGCCTTTGATTATGAACCGCATAATGAAAGGATATGACAAACGTACATCATGATTGATTCATGCAATAAATCGAACCTTGTACAACTACATGACACCATGGACGCGAGGCATGTAACTTCCTGTCAATACACAACAATACACAGGTGTCTGTAATCAGTGTATATATCAATCCTGGTGTACACCACAGGTAAATCTTGAAGTTGTTATCATATTTAAATGTTTATTCAGTTATGTTAATTTTTTCGTCTTTGTTGGATTAAACACGAGGTGAAAATGGCAACTTTTATATAATGTATTAATAACCCACGTGTGACCATTTTGACAATTTGAAAATATACATTTAGACAACATGATTTCATTATTATAAATGTCAACCTTCTTCTAACAAAAGTTTACATGTATGATACCATAAAATAATGGAATTTGGGAATGAGACCTACTTTATTGTACAGTGGCAAACACACTCGCACGAGTGTCAATTTCAGAATTGCCTTCAAGTACAAGGGAAATAACTCTGATAACCTTTAAGGCCTGGATATCGCGTCCGCTGGTAGGCCTATCATGTATGAGTCTCATTTGACGACGTAAACACCGCGTTGATGGCTTCAGTTACAAAGCCAGCTATATTAAGCATATTTACATATTTTATTATTAACCATTACTTCGTAATAAGTATGAATATCATGGTCGTTCACATGGTGATTTCTCGTAGACCAAACTCATATGGCAGGGAGCCACAGGGTGACACTTTATCGTTATTTAAATTAATGTTTTGCTCCGCCATTTTACCTATATTACAAATGTTTGATAGCAAATATTTCAGAGATGTATATTTTCAAGAGCTTAAGTTGGCCAAATCGACACTATGGATAAAATAAATCCAACAAATATATATACTTCCAGTTCAAAACTTGAGTCTATGAAAATATTAGGACATCGGCCATATTTTCAGTTCACTATGATTTGTGTTTTGTTATAAATATAATATCCTGCAAGTATTTATACACCTATTATCGACATCGTGAACATTTAAACGTGTCAGAACCCCGCAGCTCTACCAGAGTGCGCTATTCGCTTCATTTACTTGGAAAACAATGAGGTGTTAGGAAAACCAAAAGTGATCGTCAATGGACATGCACTAAAGTTTACTTGTTCAACTTTCATAAAGTTACAGGCAGCAATGAGTGACATTATAAAGAGAGAATCATCAAAACTGAGTGTTGTGTAACTTTTTAATAATACTCATCGTGTCCTGTGATCGCAATTAAAGACAACAGCACCTTGCTACTGCAAATCAGGGAGACTATATAACGTTGCAGATTATCCCTGTGCAAATTAATGCTGGTTACGGATTTATCAAAGCTTAAAAAGAATGGTCAAATACCTTCACTACCTTCTCGGAAAACTCTCATGTCGTTTAACTGTTAAAATCGACGACAAGTTGTTTTGAAAATTGAAATCACAAGTTTATTAACGGACAATCGATATCCGAAAAGAACGACCCCCTCATGACATCACCTGTAGATTACCTGCCGCAGCTTTCCACTTTACCTGTACAAGTAATGACTCATAAGCCGACAGCCAATCACAAGCCACGACTTGCGGGCACGAGACGCTGACGTATTAGCAGCAACCAATCAAGTTATTCGATACACTGGTTGATTGCTCGACCCAAACCCGGTCGCTGTCAGTTTGCGAAGTATCGTAGCGAGAGCAGGAGTGTACCGGAGTTTGTCTACATGACATGAATTTGTCCTTGTAATTAATTGTTTTATCACTTGACAACTTCAGAGGATATTCAAGTATACTAAGTCGACGGTGTTAAATTGGAAGTCGAACTTTACGACAACTGTATCTGGAGGTATTCGCCACAACATGACTGGATCTCTTCAGTGACTTACTTCAGTTTGAGTTGTCACTCTCTGGACTGTTGATGACGGTTTGTAAAGCACCGCCTGCGTTCGGTAGTTTTAGTAGCTTGTTCCCAACTTCTCAGGTACCTGCAGCTTTCACTCGTGCGTTAAGATGCCCCCACAGACTATGATGGACGCCAGCTCTGCTCCTTTGACGGAAAGTGACTTTAACCCTCCCGACCTCCAGTGTGTCAAATGTGTTCTCGTGGGGGACGGGGCGATTGGTAAAACCAGCCTCGTCGTCAGCTACACAACTAACGGATACCCCACGGAATACGTCCCCACAGCCTACGACAACTACACAGGTGAGACGTTCATGATAACATAGCTGTTTGAACATGCTGTCGCTGAAGTTAAGTTTACTTTTTCACTGTGCCTTGACAGACTGTCAAAACTCCAAGCCACTAAATCAGATAACAAGTTGTTTTGACGCAGAAACTACTTGAAAATGATATATATTTTAATCACTGAACAAAATATTTTGATTTATGGTGCTAGTCATAAAGTTTACTGTCGCTTTGAACATCAGTGTGATAACTGTCACAACGTAATTTATGTCATAAGGTAACGTTTTGGCATTAAATCTTTTAAACTTAAATATTAGAAAGAAAGTATGTACTTTTATTCATCAAACATGATATCCTGATTCAAATAACTTAATTAACCTATGTACCCTTAATAAACTTCACCACTCCTACGTTTCCTTGAAACATTAACATTCCTTTAGTACCTGTTTAGAATGTGAGGAAAAACTTGATACCCTTTCTCTTATGTTTCTCTTACACAATAAAGACACTTGAAAAAATCATTATAACACATTCCTACAGCACTTCTATTCTGTCCATTACACATTAAAGTACAGCCCTTCGTGAGCACAGTATAATAAACTATCACAGTGGAGCAGCTCCTGCCTTAGTTGCAGTTAGTCATGCAAACTAGAAATTCAAAAATGCTTCTAGGATTTCGTCTGAATGGTTTATGTCTGTGGGCATGTTATTAGTATTGTGTCCCTCCCGGTGTAAGAGACAGCTCCCAAACATCAGCTATGACCTGGCTAGATCTCAAGTCACTCAGCACTGTCACGAAACATGCATAGCAACTCACTTCCTATGAAAATAAAACTAATCCATATGGAATTACTGGTCTGACATGGGAGAGAAGAGGTAGAATAAGGCTTGACTGTCAGATTCTTGCCAGATTACCATAGAAATTAAATATTTCCTTACCTTGATGTTTGCCATACTACCAATAGTGTACATTCTTGCCCTCACATGTGTTATGTATTTCCCATATCACAGTTTTGCATTGCAATAAGTTGGAACAATGTTGTAAATGTGGGTAATTTCCTGAAGGGCATGACTGATTGTTTAAGTATGTTATATTTGGTTATATACTGGAATTTACAGTTTTAATACCTCACTTCAATGTTTAGTACAAGTTAAAATAAAATATTTGTAAATGTAGTTGAAAAATATTCTAATGATTTGTTTACTTATAAGCATTGTTTTTTCTTTTAGTTGTTGTGACCGTGGACAAAAAGCCCATCAGGTTAAACCTGTGTGATACAGCTGGCCAGGTAAGCTTTCATCTCTATCATGATTATATCATTATCAGGGTTGTTAGGAAGGACCTCAAACAAACCATCTGTGAATCAATACTTAAGTCATCTTAGTTTGGTATAATAGCTGTACACTTTAACCTTTGTTTATCTTAATCCTCATCAGCAATAGAAAACATAACACTTGTTAAGTCATCTTAGTTTGAGATCAAACAAAGGATCTATACTTTAATCTTTCATCTATCTATCTAAATCCTCCCAGCCCTAGAAACATATTGCACTTGTTAAGTCATCTTAGTTCAAGAACAACAGCTCTCTCTTGTCTTTTATCTATCTAAATCCACATCAGAACAGGGCCGAACTGTACCTGTTTGATAGGAGTGAACAGGGGTGATAGGGAGAGACACTAGCTGTCTGTTATTGATTCCAGCCAGTGCAGAATGGCTAGATGGACCTGCATTCTGTAACACGGATATGTCCCTTTACACTGCTGGGAGGCTGTTGGAGAGCTAAATGTCACAGTGCTTAGTGAGCTAACACACGATGCATTACAGGACAGGCTCTCGGGCAAAATAACAAAACCATCACTGGATGCATGGGTAGAAAGGGCACGCTGGTGTGTGATACTAAGTGGTTAGAAGGTTGAGGGAGATCCTGGGATTTTCACTCACAACATTTTTTTATTTTCACACTGTAAAAAAATGAGTGAGAAAAAATTATAGATCATTAAAAATATTTTAAATTTGATCTTTGTCATATCAATAGGAACATGAGGCTTTGAAAATATATTTGGATTTTTAATAAGGTTTTAAATCCCTGTGTAAATGTCTGTTTTAGAAAACAAAATGTTTTGTTGTTTGGTATTTTGTTCATAGATAAGGCTTGTGTGTTTTTTAAAATGAGTAATGTCTATGAAAATAGACTTCTCCTATTTTTGTTTAGTACTGTGTGGTGGATAATTTTACCAAGAAATTTTAATTTTTATAAAAGACGTCTGTTTAAGACTGTATGGATATATCTGTCATTGCTTCACAAGCCAATTACCCCCAGCCCTATTTTTGTTTTGTGGACATGAGTCTACAGAACTTAAAGTACATTCCCTGAAGGAAATCCCTAGTTTAAAACAGTATCATGAATCACTTGCTATATTTTTTCAAATTGTTTTCAAATCATGACGGAACAATGACAAAATTAGATCACATGATTACCTTTTAATAGATTCAGGAAATGAGTACAGGAAATACATTGCATGACTTCAAAACAGCCATGAATTGTTCATGAGCTAAACATTAGCTTCTATCCCAGACAGCAGGGCTAATCCAAGCACTGTCTACCTATATTGTGATGGGGATTATCTAGGTATTACCTGTATGTATTGACCAAGGGTGTGGTCAGTCTACAGATGTTGGCCCCTGTCTCACCTGACATGCCAACAGCTGCTGAGAGGGTTTCCATGTATTACTGTATACAGATGGAATTAAAGGGGATCTATCTTCAAACAAACATGGCTTATTAAAGTGACCCTGTCGTAAATATTGCTTGTTATGGAAATCCCAGCGACTGGTCAGTCCAGTTGGTAGAAGACAGCTGGTGACCAACGCGGGGTCATATTAGTGTCAAAAGTTGGCAGTGGGTATTCTCTACATGTGACGATAAATACAACAACATGTTCATATCAACAGGTTGTAAACTGCTGGTAATATCGTCATCATATTGCATAATGAACTTCCTCGTCTTTCATGTATTCATCTTCATGGTACTTTATTTCATTATATGCTATAATTCCTCACTGGATAAATATTTATTTTCTCTCTCCTATAGGCTGAAAGCATAGTGAGTATATAACGCAGTGTCTGCCTGCTGATTGTGATATCCTCATATACCTGTATATTACCTGTATGATATGTACTTGTATCACCCATGTATATTGCATCTTGACATATCTCTGACGTGTTATCTTGTATATTGCACATGCTGTATCTAGTCAGTGTATTAACACTGTGTATGTGATCTGTATTCTGATTTGTTGTTTCACGTTGTGTGTCTCGATGTTATTGATAATTAAACAAGTCTGACCAAATTATATCAGGGATTTTTCCATTTTCGCGAGGAAGTATTCAAGACAGGTGTGTGCACCTTTATATTTAACAGAGATAAATATTATCTCGGTGAGTCTACTTGTTACCTCTGTGTGGGGTGTCAGAGTTGTTTAACCTGAGCTGACTTTTAAATGACTCATGTTGTGTTTTATGATCTAATCTTTCCTGAATCTTGACATGAGCTACCTAAACGATTACAGGGTGACATTGATGAGACCAAGGCCCAGTGGTAATACACACATTGTAGGGCTGTCATAAGCTTTAATTAGTTGTAATAAGCTCACTCTAGGCGTTCCCGTGTCCAAATGGTGAGCGGTCTTGTAAGGGATAAATTCCCTTGTTAGGTGCTCAGTAGAGTGTTTGTATTGCATCTAAAGGGGTATTGTTGGGCTGGTTGAATAAAGTAAGTGATGCAAGAAATCGCACCTTTATGTTAAACCAGCAGCAATGGAGTACATTTTCTTTTTGAATATTGTGCACTAAGTATGTAGGTCAGTATTCTGTAGGTTACGATGAGTGTAGGGACTATATTGGGAGTAAAGATCCTACTTATTCAGTTCATGTTTTCTCAGTGTGGGTGCCTCTCATGAATATTGTAATGAAGAATACTCACACTCCATAACTAACCCATATATTTTGAAGTATAAAAATGCTTTGTAACCAAACTGTAGTACTTTGTAAATATATCTAGATAGCTCTTTGCTTCAATACCTTTAGCTTAATGTATCATTTAGTACTAAATCAGTAGAATAGCCTACATATGCTAACATCCCAGGAAAATTCTGGGTTAGAATTTTGTCTTCAGCAGCCCATGCTGAATAAGGCAGCTAGTGGGATCAGGTGGTCTGACTTGGTTCATGCATGTCATGTCTCAATCAATGCTCATGCAGTTTCTGGCATTGATTATTTACAGACTGCCATCATATAGTATTGTCAGTGCAGCATTGAACAACAAACAAGCTTATGTTACATAATGGTCATTGACTGTGTCTCAGGCACACCACCCTGTGAGTGTCCCCATGCCCAGACCTCTTCCCAGCTGTGTCTGAGGCACCCCACCCTGTCCCCATGACCTGACCGGTGTGAGCCTCTACCCAGCTGTGTCTGAGGCCCCCACCCTGTCCCCATGCACTGACCGGTGTGAGCCTCTCCCCAGCTGTCTCTGAACAAACCACCCTGTCCCCATGACCTAACTGGTGTGAACCTCTCCCCAGCTGTCTCTGAACAAACCACCCTGTCCCCATGACCTGACTGGTGTGACCCTCTACCAGCTGTGTCTGAGACACCCACCCTGTCCTCATGCCCTGACCTGCATGAGCCCCTCCCAGCTGTGTCTGAGACACCCACCCTGTCCCCATGCCCTGACCGGTGTGAGCCCCTCCCAGCTGTGTCTGAGACACCCACCCTGTCCTCATGCCCTGACCTGCAGCTGTGAGCCCCACCCACCCTGTGTCTGAGACACCCACCCTGTCCTCATGCCCTGACCTGCATGAGCCCTTCCCAGCTGTGTCTGAGACACTCACCCTGTCCCCATGCCCTGACCTGCATGAGCCCCTCCCAGCTGTGTCTGAGACACCCACCCTGTCCTCCATGACCTGACCGGTGTGAGCCCCTCCCAGCTGTGTCTGAGACGCCCACCCTGTCCCCATGCCCTGACCTGTGAGGGCCAACCACGGGAGACCCTACTGCATGAGCTACATTCACCCCACGACTCTACTGCATGCACCTCACACCCTTCAACTGGGTGACGTAACTCGTCCTGTCTCAACACAACTATCATCAAGTTAGGCACAAGCACCGGCTGACCTGAATCCATTATAACAGATTTATAACCAGATGTCAGATGAAATCCACAAACACATTCATTTGACATAAAAACAAGAGAAAAATCATGTTTGTTAAAAATATATTTATGATAATTTTCTGTTAGCTGAGAAGCATTTCAGTGGATAAATGTTTAAATGCAGCAGGAGAAAAACTTGTTTGTTTCATGACAGTTTCTATTAGCGAAAATGTTTTTCAGAGGTAAAAGTGGGTAAAGCGGAAGACGAAAAAATCATGTTTGTTAATAATATATTTTAGCAGTTTTCTGTTTGGCGAGACGTATGTAAACAGGTTATTGTATCGTTCAACATGTAATGAGAGTGAGGTGGATTAACGTGGGTTTGCTTTAAGAGCTGTTGTCACATAATTCAGGCAAGAATTTACAATCACTACCTTTATCGTGAAATCATGACCTACCGTTGACACAAGGAAAGTAAGTCAGCTGTAGTTCAGGCTGAGAATAGATTGTTGACTATATACCTTCATAATTGCTCCATACACTGTTTCACCATGCTAGTAGTATACTCAGGTGGCACTGCGCTTGATGACATGATAGGCAGTTAAAGATTCACCAGGGGCTTTTGTTTGTGTACCATAGGCTGATACTGAGGGTTGTATGAGGTGCTGGATCAGGTACTGCCATTTCAGGTTTGTGAGGGTGGTGTGTTAGTCTAGTGGTTAAAGCATCCACTTGCTATGCCAAAGACCCCCACATGGGTACAATGTGTGAAGCCCATTTCTCGTGTCCCCCCGCCATGATATTGCTGGAATATTGCTAAAAGCAGCGTAAAATATTACTCACTCACTCTCGGGTTTAAGACTTCAGATTCCTATACTGACTAAAGATTGAAGTTTAAATGATTTGCCACTATGTACTTCAATGCAGTTACGAACACTGGATTTGGTTAGTATGTCAATATGCATTAACTAGTCATATAAAAATAGTCACGTTATGACAGATACCAGGTATATACTAAACAACATTTGAAACGCACCACACTAAAATGCACTAACGATGCTCAGATATCATGGGTACATTTCAGTCTGACGGGGATATTTTGTATTATATGGGTTGTGCGTTTCTAATGTTGTTCAGTATATGTCATATCAAAAGATAGTTTTTTTAACTTTTGTGTGTAGTCGATCAAACAGAACCCTCACTACTGTTTTTTAAAAATGCTGTATCCTCATGTTTGGTAAACACTAAACCAGGACAGTTTAGTTCTTTACCACTCACAGCCACAACCAATGCTAAATACAGAATAAATTATTAGCTGCCTGTAGGATAATAATGGTTCACTGATACACCTGACAGTACAGATATATTTTGGCTTAGTACTTCCAACACTAATCTGCTTAGTTTGCGTATTTTCTGTTATGAGAACTGAGACGTGTATATATATATAATCTACGTATTTTTATACACTAGGATAATCTGATCTGTCACACAGTGTCTCATTTGTGTTGCTATTAGCCGACTTATAGAAGTAAGATATACGTTATTACATGACAATCTGGGTGGGGATCAGTGAGCTTGGTGGATATGGTCTGATTCATGTCTGCTAAATCCAGAATTATGTACAAGTAATGATCAGGCAATGATCCACTTGTCACTGAATATTAGCAGTGGGGTGGATCCCATTCCAACAAGTATGTTCTATATTAGTATCTAGTTATACAGACCCCCAAACAGAAGAATCCTCTACAGCCCATATAAGCCCATACTATATTACATGGTTGACTAATCTATATTACTGCAGCATCGGTAACTGAAAGTGATTAGTCTCTGGGCTCCTTTTTATATTTTATTCAGATAATTTAACTACTGCTTTTTTCTGTAAGGGGGCGGTGGGGTAGCCTAGTGGGTAAAGCATTCACTCGTCATGTCGAAGACCTGGGTTCCATTCCCCACATGTGTGAAGCTCATTCCTGGTGTCCCCCCTGTGATATTGCTAGAATATTGCTAGAAGCAGTGTAAAACTAAACTCACTCACTGTTTTCTATAAAATATATTCATTTCAGAAAATAGATGTAAGTCTATTAAAAGCAACATGCTGTTACTGGAATCTTGCAAAGTATTTGATATTTTTACTATTAATCATTTTTAACTTAACTACATCATCACCTTACAATCTCATGGTGAAAGTATCTCTTCTTACAAAATAATATTTCAAGCCTGGTGTGTTCTCTTCAGCTAACTTTCCTGCCCTACTCCCAGAAGTTAAGGGGAACATACAGACAAGTGCTTTTACTGTTTCTGCTAGTACTGGCCTCAAAGAGCTATCTCTCGGCTTGCCCCACATAAAAGATTTATGCGCTACATTGAGAGACATATGTTTCTATTTTAGTGGGGAATCTTATCTCTGAGCGGATAGGCATATGTAGTATTGACAGGTCCCTCATGTTCCACCACACAAACTAGTCCGTCTGTGGGACAAGGCCTGTTGCTCTACACTATCACCACTTTTAACAGTTCTGGTCATGGCTTCCCCATATTCTTGAATACTCAGAAGAGTATTCGGTATTCATCCTTAGGCCTTTGGACTTACACAATTCTCGCTACATCTGACCAAGTTTCTCAGTATTCACCTACCATCCTGATTCACCTTATTCACTCCATTTTAATCTGATTCTCACAGATATTCTAAAATCCTTTGCAATCATCCAATTCTCTCCATATCAGCCAAAGCTTTTGGATCCATCCGTATTCCTCTTGTAATCAACCCATGTGTTCATTATTCAGTAGATGGTGTCTCAATACACCTGGATTTCACAATTTTCTCCTGATTCTTCTCGTGTTTCTTCATATTCGTAGATATATCCATCCTTGGCTTATTCTATGAAATGACTATTGGCTGGTATCAATTTTAGCCTGGGTTAACTGTGTGATCATACCCGACAGCATGGACT